AGTAATAACTCACCATCTAACCTCGAATGGTCAGAAAGAGGGAAATAAAGGAATTGGAAGGAAAAAAGGAAAAGAGAAGAACAAGAGGGGGACTGGACTGGACCCAGAAGGGTCCACCGAGCCCAGCCTTCTGTTCCAACACCGACCAAGCTGATGAACCGAAAGGAAGACCACCAGGCAGGATGGGAGTTACATTGCACCCTTCCTACTCATGTCCCCCACCAGCCCACACTGAGAAACATACAAACTGTTTATGATACTGAGGGCAAGATATGGATACGGCTGGCCCGGCGGAGGGAGAGAGGGAGGGGTTGAGAATTAATTTTGTGATTGTTTTAGTGATTTGCAAGCTCTCTTGAATCCTGTCACCTTGAAGAAAGGCAGCATACAAGTGTATGTAAAAAAATTACTTATATTTCTATATCTAGATCTCATATTCTGCTGCCTTTCTTCCAAGTGGCAGGATTCAGGGTGGCCCACAAATCTTTAAAACAATCACAAAATTAAAACAAGATACAAACATCATTCGTTCATTAAAAGTTATTGGACATGAAAATTTTTAAACCATTGTCTTTAAAAAAATTGGTTAAAAAGTAAAAACATTAAATCATCATTGTGATGAGAGACAGAGACAGAGAGAGAGAGAGAGGGAAATGAGTGATAGCTACTGACCTGTTTAAGGTGCTTCTCACATCCTAGAAAGCAGAAGAGAAAAAAAAGGAGGAGGAGGTTAATGTCTGCCTTGAGCCACAATTTTAGAGGTCCTCTCAAAACAATGGAGGTTATGTCTTCAGAGATTTCAAAATTTTTAGAGGTATCACTACAAAGCTTAAAATCTTCTCACGTTTTGTTTCCTTATATGTTCATATCCTGCCTTTCCAGCAATGAGGTCAAGGTGGAGCACATATCGTATTTTTCTGCTTATAACACCCCTCCGTTTATAAGACATCCCCCCTGACTTTTCTAACCCAAAAATTAAGAAAACTTAGCTTTGAGGATTCAACCTCTGAGCTCAGAATGGTCGGACATTAGGAGTCCCTGTTGCTTCTGAGCTTATAGACTCCACCCCCAAGGAGGTGTGTTCCAATTGGTTTGTTCAGCATCAGTTCCATAAGCCTCTTGATTCGAGGAAGCTAAATCTCCTGACTGCAGGAAGCAAAGCCTTGTGACTGAAGGAAGACTGTTTACAGAGGCAAGGTATGTGCCTTTTTGTTCTCTCCTCAGCTATCTCAGCTTACTTCTGTGTAAAAGACACCCCTCATTTTTAGTGTAATGATTCTAGGAAAAAGTGTCTTATACATTGAAAAATATGGTACCTATCTTTTGTCCCACGGTGTTTTATGATTACAGCAGGACCTCCATATCTGCTGGGGATTAGTTCCACACACCCCACCCCATGGATACTGAAATGGTAAACAGATTTTTATACATGCATTACCGGAACTGGCCATTAGAGGGTACCAAATACCATGCCATGTGTTATTCACTAGCAAGTATTCATTGTATGGTCTCTGGCTCCCTCTAATTGCTGGTTCTGGTAATACATGTGAAAATAGTTTTTCCTGGATTTTTTTTCTTTTAATATTTTTAAGATTTTCAGACTGGATAAATGAATCAGCGAGATACTGATTCCATGGATAAGAGAGGGTCCTACTGTATGCAAACCTTGGTGTGGCTTAATTGTCTCACCATAGGGTTTTCTGTCCCTCAGCATGTCAATTCAAATGGAGAGAGGGTTCTGAAGTGTAAGGATGTGTCACTGGAGAACAAAGCTAAGATCATCCACAGTGTAGTAGTCCCAGTTACTGCATATTAATTTGAAAGCTGAACAGCAAAGAAAGCTGATGGGGGCAATTATTCATTTCTGGGAAAAGATATTTAAAGATACTTTCCGAAAGATTGCCGGAAAAAGGAACAAGTATGTTCTAGATCAAATCAAGACTGAATTCTCTCTAAAAGCAAAAAAATGATCATCGTACTTTGGACACCTCATGAGAAGACAAAGACTTCTTGTATACTGTGGAAAGGTAGCAGGAGAAGAGCAAGATTAAATATGAAATAAATTGACACAATAAAGCAAGCCATAGCCTTTGGGGGATTCTGGATCTTCACAGTCTTCCCCCTCCCCCAAAAAGTAACTTTTCCAAGCTTATGGAATGACATAATGCTTTCCAGTTTAACATCCCTCTGGAGTGTCCCTTAGGCTCTTTCTGATTTTTTTTTCTGAAATAAAGAAATAAAATGGGAGTGAAGTGGGAAAATGGAATCTGACATGTTTTTCAGTGCACCCCTATCTCAGAACCTGTGATTGAAAAAAAAAGGAAAACAAGGAAAGTTGTGGTTGAGAAAATTCTTCGGCCTCTTTTGTGCTTGTGGCACTTTTATCAAGGCACCACCTGCCCTTAAACACACTGATCATACCCTGTTTCTCCGAAAATAAGACCTAACCTGAAAATAAGCCCTAGTAGGATTTTTC